CGATACTTTCATTCATTGCGTTGTTTTCGTCTTCATCTCGAACAAAATGTAACAGACAGATGAGCTCATTGTTTGAGGGTTCATTGTACCGTGTATTATACCTACTAGACTCCATTTTGCATGGAACTAGGCACAGCTAAAAATTCTTATACATTACTTACAATTCAATTTTCGTATGTCTACGTAGATATTAAGTTCTCAATGTTAAAAAAGACATAAGTAGATAGTAATATTTTCACCGTTGTTGTTAACCAGGGGTAAGAACATAGCAAGACTCAAAGCCAAGTTTGAAAACACCACGGTTGAAGATGCGGAGCGGTGCCCGGTTCCTGCGAGGGTTCTAGCAAATAGGAAACATAACAAATAACCAAGAAAATTGTGAGTACCTATCTAACCATCATTGATTTTCTGTCCCGTATGAGATGACGTACTTGCCAAATTCTAACTAAGACGCAGATTATTTTTCTATGTATCATGTTTTCCCCTCGTATATTATCTAATACTAAATAGACTATTAAAACAGCATATTGCCTATTCGTGTGCTTAGATCACATGGATTACGTGTGCGGCGGAACCTCAGTAATAAATAAAATCCAATAACTCAATTGGCTCTTAGAGCGTTGCATTTTCGGGATTAAATTAATCTCATGTTCATGAACGAAGGTAATATTTTAATCAAGCACTGAGGTAAGAGCTGCATAAAACGGCCCCATCAATTCATCCGAGAAAATACGGTCCGATAAAACTCCCCGCCACCGCCGCGGCCGTCGACAACGCGACGCCGATGGCACAATTCCGCATTAGAAATTAAGACCGACGTTACAAAAGTGTTTACTACGAATTAAAATACTGAGGACCGAATTTTCTCGTATATAAGAAATCGTACACTTACTGAACACAAATAAAATGTATGACTTATTTAACAACTATTTTATTTTTTGAAAATCACGTAGAGTAAAACTTTTGCTACGTTATTTGACAATTCCCGGGTTGGATTTTTGCCCGGCGGACGAAGGCTCACTACGTCACGTTCGCGTGCTCAAAGGAGCCTCGGTGTACTGTGAGTTTGTGAGCAGAGCAGCACCGTAGTAACAATAACGTTGTAGTTCGCATGGCAAGCGGCACGCATATTAAGTATCTAGAGGGGCGCAAGAGGATTCTGCCCGCGCTTGAATTCGTAAAAGTACAGCAAAATATATTTGAATTATATCAAGCAGCGCAGCGATGTTTTCTGCTGCCCCTACCTGTACCAATATATACAGTTGATATTAGATGAGCAAAATACCGACCTCGGTTGGTCTGATTAATAATCTATGGTAGAAGGAGCTTCTTTGACATATTTGTATTTAAAAGTTTAAAATAGTAGTCTTGAATTAGACGTCGCGTCGGTCATCTCACAACCGCTTTTCAGGGAACCAGGAGGTAATTTTGTCGAGTCTCCCAGAGCGCCACCGCTGTCTGGGCAGTCAACCTTTTAATAATGTTTATTGACAGTAATTGAAATATCAGCATGAACACATATTTCTATTGGTGAAGTTTAGCTATTACGGCGTAAGTACAGACATCTACCTCTAAATTAAGTAAGTAGACTACCTAACTTAAACAATTTCTTTGTAGGTAGAATACGCGTAATAAAAACCATCCTACCTGTTGTACTTGTACGTATTTGAAAGTACAAAGCCGTTAAACATTGTAAAGATAGTTTTAATTGTTGTATCAGGCTGGAGTTTACCTAGACGATAGGAATCTCAACTTAACGTCTCCCTCCACACTTTAGCAATTGGCAATAACCCAGAGTAGGTATTGATCTCAGAGACGTGTATCTACCTAAGTATATGTGCTTTAAGTTTGTAAGTAGTATCTACTATCATCTGATCCTAGGAGTCGGTATAAGGATGTATAATTTTTCAGGAGTATCTATTTACGTAACTAATAATTTTTACTCATTTTCTTGTTAATATGAGAATACACTCGCTATTTAGTTTTATGCTATAATATTTATTAATTAGACAAATTCCTATCTAAGGTTAAATTGTCGACGTACCTCTGCTCTACATTTTCATCTAATTTGGAATCTTAATTAGAATTCTCGCGGTTGTTACCTAGTTGGGGTGTTACTAAACCATTGTGTGTTACACACTGTTCAACATGAATTTCTCGAAACAGACTCACTAGTGCCACCTAGTTGGAAATGTGAACAATTGTGGCTAAAAGTGGAGAGTTGTTCTACATTCTACATCCGAGTTTTACAATACTGAGCGCGTTTTCATTCGCGCTTTAGGTGAATACTTTAAAGTGAGTTGCTGACACGGTCCTTTGACGAATACATGCGCGACCGACATGTTTTGTTTATCTTAGTTTCAAAGGCACCATATTATCAATATATATGTGTCCGAATCCTGTATTATCTATTTCGTTATTTGTAGTCTAGGGCAGTTAATAGGTATTTGAAAAGGATAGAAGTACCATTGGTAAAGGAAGAAAATTTATGACTAGGTTCAAATATGGAAAAATAAATTCGGGGAAAAGATGGACGGACGTCAGAATGGAAAACGGTTTATTGGGATTTCTGAAAAACTATGAATAAAATAGTTTGTATAAAAATATTTAAAATGCCAAGTTGTATTAACTACTACGTACTAAATAAATCTAAAACATTTGAAAAATTTACTGAGTCTTAGTATTCTAAGTACTTAGTAGGTACTTACCTTTTGTTAAGGGGGGAAAATCATCAAATTATTGCTCCCTCCTGGGTGAGGCGGGAGGGAGTGTCAGACTCTTACTGACTAAAAACCACCCCGTTCCTTCTCCTGCACGTCGAGCCGGAGCCCCGGTTACCTGTTAGGTTCTCCGCGACTCCGAAAGTAGGTACTTACCTAGTGATACCCCATATTCTACAAATTAGAACCTCTATTTTCTAAAGGTGCTAATAAAAAAATATACATTAGGTTTTGAATCTTCTTCTTATTTTACGTATGTTAGGCACTTCTAAATGTTGGCATAGTACTTTCGCACTAAACAGTGAGTGCAACAGCACGGAGTTTGGAATTGTCCCCGATATATGGCAATAGGCTGACTACCCATTACATGGGACTCAAATGGGAACATAAATGGTGACAGGTGCGTGTTACATTGTCCATAGTGGCTTTAAGTGCCGTAATGTGCACCTCTGCGCCCTTTATAAAAGCCGTGACGTTATGAATGTTATGTTACTCCATTTAGACTTTGAAGTAACTGGGGCATAAGAAAAATCTATGTCTGTACTCAATGAACAGCAACCGTAGATATCTGGAAGAAATAAACAAATGTTAGTCTAGTAAATAAGTATCTACTACACCACGTACGTCAATTGTAGTTACGTTCTAGCACTTACATAAAAGTCATGTAGGAAATTGTTTCTTATTGCTTACGATTTAAAGACGTTATCCCGCTGTTCAGCTGCAAGAGTTATGGCTAACATGTTGTTTGTACCTGTCATGAACGTAGTATGTTATTTTATATGTACGTAGTATTTATTACTTCCACTAGTGTGGCTAAGTGCATGTTGGTGGTGGCAAACTTCATACCGCCTTAAATATTTATTTTCTCACCTTTTAAACCTGCCCTGGACTTCGACGAACACATAACATAACATCACGCCTTTTATCCCCGAAGGGGTAAGCCGAATTTTTTTTAAAACCCAATGACGAACATTTCAAGACCATAATTGGACAAATGAGCCGTTGTCGAGTTTTAGCAAGACTAACGAACGGAAATTCATTCTTATTTTTATAGATTTATAAAACGCTTTTATATCTACTTGTAACACAATCTAAGAATCTTAATTGCGTATAGTGTTTCACCGTGTGATGCTTTCCGCCGTTTTGACTAGATTGGGTGACATAGGTATAGGTACAAAAACATACAAACTCACAAACTTGCGCATTTATAGTATTAATACTACATAGTAAGAAGGAAGATACTCGACCATACGGTAGTACACTTAGGTGACATAGGATAGGTATCCAATACAGAAATTGTACGCTAATTAAGTGGTAGTTGTGGGAGCGGACCAGGTGTCCTGTAACACAGGGTATGAGCCTTGCAGTGCCTAGCCTGTAACATTACCTAATTATACGTTATACCTTAGGTACTTACAGACTGCCGTGAGCCGTGTGGTGGTGACACCTAAGCTTCCCACGATTGTCGTATGACCCAACTAGGCAACTACATAATTATAATAACAGAAACTAAACAGTAGCGCCCTCTGATAACTCTTTTTTTGATGACGTTACCCTTCGAAATGCTCCTAGCTTTTTGAGGAGAAAGACTAGGGAGTGTGCGATTCGTACCTCACTAAAGCCACCCCGGTTGCCACCCTCAGCATCTGTAAGGGGCTCCGGGTCCTCTAGAAGAAACCTGCTCCGGAGCCCCTATCCCATTGATAAACCTTACTTTAGATACTTTGAAACTGCTATCATCTCGAACCTGCCTGCCAAGTATGCAAATTTGGAGATTATTTGGAGATAGTGGACTGTCACCGGGTGTTGAGCAATTGTTAACATTAAGGTTCTACTTACCTATGTGATAAGAAAATAAATAATAGGTACCTAATGATATCAGACACCGATATGGACCTACCTAAGCTATGTATTAATATTTATGTTATAGTTTTTGTAAAGTGGGCTTATCTTGCATAGCTATGTGACGTCATGAATAATGTGACGAGTCAGTATGACTCTTTTTTTTAAGGGGAGAAAATCATCGAATGACTGCCCTCGCCTGGGTGAGGCGGGAGGGAGTTACTGACTAAAAACCCACCCGTTCCTTCTCCTACACGTCAAGCCGGAGCCCCAGTAACCCGTTAGGTTCTCTGCGACTCCGAATCGGCATCGGCCCTATTGGGCCCCATCTGTGGTGGTCTGATGGCTCTTTAAGGCGCGCGCGAAACGCTACGCGCCGTACGCTCGGGTCTGTTTCTGGTCGGACGGGGAGCCACCCATGGTGGCCGTCCGCAGTCCCGCGCTTACGGTGGCCGGAGATCGTCCCGCGATCCCCGACGCCCGGTGTGTCCTTCGCGATGGCTGGGTTGCGAGGAGGCAGCGCTTCGCTGCCTCACGCGTCCCGCCTCCTCCTTAGCTAGCATGACTGCTTCGCAAAAGGAGGAGACGGCATCCCAGTCCCCCTCGCTCTGCATCATGGCCTGCACTAGGCCCGGACGCGAGAGGTCGCCATCGCCGATCACTTCCCTGAGGGCACGGCGGTGCTCAGCCCACGCAGGGCATTCCGCTACAGTGTGTTCCACCGTGTCCTCAGGGCGGTCCTCGCAGTGATGACACCCGGGCGTTTCCTCCCGCCCCATCAGACACAGGTACCTCCCGAAACTTTCATGTCCGGTGAGGACCTGTGTCAGGCGGTAGGTGAGGACGCCGTAGCGTCTCTCAAGCCACTCCTCAAAGACACTTACCGCTGCAATGGTAGCGAGCCCATCGACTCGACAATGGAATACAATTTTAGATGCATTACAGAAATTTGACAGAAAAGGATAGGTTGACATGCACGCCACTGTACCTCCTCTTTTCAACTATAGGTAGTTTAAGTCAATGAGAATAACAAGTATCAAAACCCATTAACTCATATTTTATCAGGGTATATATACAGGTACGATATTCGTCACTTAATTTTATTTCACACTCTTTTGCCAAGCTGTACCCGTCCTCTGCTGTACTAAAATAAATTATGAACGCAGAAACACTGCTCAAAATCCTGCTATCCCGATCCCTCCCTAGCCCTCCAGTGCCGTCTGGTTTAGAAAAAGTTAGTTCTGTCATGTCTGAATCTGAAAATCAATATGATATTATTCTTGTGTTATTTTTCGCTTATTCGTGATAAAATTTTGTTTTCAAGAGAATGTTAATAATGAATGTGGCAAATAATATTTCGTTTTGTAAGCTATTTATTTTGAATAGTATGTATACATCTGACATTGTCGTACTTGAATCATCGTAAAACTAATTAACGCCTAATGGGTGCTACTTTTTGTTCGTGATGTTCATGTAAATAATGTGAATAATAAAGTACATCAAAGTAAGATTTTAACTGAAATTATGTACAGAAATATTCTAAATTACATAATAAGCCGCGCATAGTTTTAGTGTATATAGAAAACGATGAGGTTTCATAGAAGGTGCGGCGACCGGGTCACACTATTGAATGAAAACTCTACAGCAGTTAGAAATTTTGTAGAATTTAACCATGGCTTGATATTAAGTTCAGAACCATTGAAGGATGATGTTATATTTGAAGTTACTGTTGATAGAAAGGTAAGACTAAGAACAAAGAAAGAAAGGTATCCACCTACTTACTCTGACTACTACAAGATTCCTATTTGATTGTATGAGTGCATGCCCATTATTCAAATAAGCAATAGCTATTTTAATCAACCATAATATTTGAATGTCTTTTTATTCTCATGTGTCTAAAAGAGTCTTTTTAGTCTTTTCCATGCAATTATTCAGCAATTTTTACATTTACTTTTGGGATACAAAAGGTCACTTAAAATAAACCTAATCTTACTAATTCACTTGTAATATGACAACAATGTTTGTTTTACCCTTTGTTTCTCTCATGATATTCTTTTATTAAAGGTTTAGGATGGACACATTTCAATTAGATTCTTACAAACTTTAAAACACCAATGTCTTTATTGGTGTTTTTTTTATAAAAAAAATCTGTTGAACACTATTCTCCTTTCATACTAGGTGAACGTTTGGAATGGAAGCCTGGAAATAGGTGTTACAACATTGGACCCTGAGTTTATGGAATTACCTGCTACGGCAACAAAACTCAGGAACACAGCATGGGTAAGTAAACATGTATTTTACACATATAAATTACAATCTTTTCTAACAAACATTAATTTCTGAACCACTTAATATTTATTAATGTAATCAAAATGGCTTTTGCGCTCTGTCTATTTAAGTTTTATACATACTAACATTTAATTTACAATTTTTAATAACGTTACTTCTGAGTAACTCTGTTAACTAGTGACAATTTCAATAAATTACAAAAAAAATAAAGAAAATACAATAGCGCTATCCAGGGTTGCAAAAGGGCATATGTTTGTGCCATGCATACTCAGTTGAAATATATTTGTTCTAGATTATGTCAGGCAGTTCCATTGTGAAGGATGGTGTCACTTTGGTCAATTCATATGGACCAGAACTGGACACCCTGCGAGAGGGCGACTGTATTGGAGTTATGAGAACTAGTAAGGTAGCTATCATTGTGGATTCATAAATCTATAATATTTAGTGCTTATTTTTAATAATATAATTATGTACTACATATAGTAAATTATAGTGTGCATTAATTCAAATATAGAATATTTGTATGGTGAGTAGTTATTAATCTATATGTAAATTTTTTCTCAGGGAGAATTAACATTTTATCTCAATGGTCGTTGCCTGGGAATAGCTGCAAGAGATCTTCCTTCAAGATTGTTTGCGGTGATTGATTTGTACGGACAGTGCGTCCAAGTGTCTATATTGCGGTCAAATGAGATAAGACCAATCATGGACAGTAGTATTGAACAGGTTAGATAACAATAAGATATTATTTTGTTTGTTTAACTGAAAGGTGATCATTCTTACAAAAATATTAACATTTTAGATTGAAGAGGATCCAAACAACGATGATACTCTTACGTCTAGTGAAATGGATGTTGCCGGTCTTCCACCCGAGTCCAGCCAATACCCGAAAGAACCTCATACTGTTTACATTCCAATGCCTTCCGAAGGTGCATGTGCTCTTGGTGAGTGTGAGTGCTCTTGATGATTACAAACACTTTATTTGTATCTAGTACACTGATGTGGGAAAATTAAATTCTTATTGTATTCTTCTTCAACAGTGCCACATGACCGATTGCGTTTTCATCCAAGATGTGGAATCTTAGTGAAACTGTCAAGTAATAACAAGTAAGTTTTGGTCTTTATATGAATAAAGAAAGAACATGAAGTTCACTTGTACTTTGTTTAGATATTCCTAGGAAATGTTTGTGAAATCCTAATAAATATTTCGCAATAGGACTGCGGAACGAGCTCGTCCACTTGATGACTACAATAATGGTGTGGTGATGACACACCGTCCACTTTATGACAACGAACTGTTTGAGATACGAATAGATAGGCTCGTTGACAAATGGAGTGGAAGTATTGAGGTGAGGTGCTAACCGTCCAGTGGGCAAATTGTTTCGTTTTCCTATTAGGGCACTTTTAATGAACAGAAATGTATTTTTTAGGTTGGTGTTACAACACACAACCCTGCTACGATACGTTTCCCGTCCACTATGACCAACATGGACACTGGAACTATAATGATGTCAGGATGCAAGGTGCTTCTTAACGGCCACGGCACTTGCATGGAGTATGGCAACTTTAATCTTGATGAACTAAGAGTAAGTAACATTGCGACGTATTTCCGAAGTTACATGATAATACTTTTTGCACTTGTAATCTACTATGTAAAATATGAATGTAATATTCAGAATAGTGAATATGATTTTCTTTGTAGGAAGGTGACACCGTTGGTATGATGAGGAAGAGCAATGGTAAATTGCACTATTTTATCAATGGTATCGACCAAGGTGTTGCTACAGATAAAGTAGACCAACAAGTTTGGGGGGTGGTGGATCTATATGGAATGACTGTCAAAGTAAGTTAAGAAGCTTCCATTCCTTTTATTTACCAATACTTTCTATTTATCATCGACTATAGTAACATTGAATTGTTTTTTTTAGGTATCCATTGTGGATCCTTGTGAAGATTTGGATAGTAACATCAATAATCCACCTCTCATGCTCGCTTCGCCGGAAATTCCTGCTCCCAGTAAGTACATTTACTTATTGGTTATTTAGAAAATTAATTCATACGTGATGTTTTGGATTATGTTACTCAAAGTGTTACGGTATTACAGGCAATTTTAGACCAACAATAGACGAAGAGAGCCTTTTATTTCATACGCTGCGTGATTCGAATGTTATTATTATTAACGATGGTAAGACTGCTCATAGGCCTAAGTGAGTATTCACAATTTTTTATTATTTTGTTACGTGAGTTTTGTAGCGTAAATGTAATGAGGTCTTATTGTTGGCTTTTTATTTTTTAGTGCTTTCAAGTACTTCAACAACGGAATCGTAATGACGAACCGTACCTTAAAAACTAACGAACTTTTCCAAGTACGTCTCGACCTTGTCATCCCGAAGTGGGCTGGAAGCATTGAAATTGGAGTCACGCAGCATTCTTCAAATGATATTAAATTCCCTTTTAAAATGAGCAATGCCAAGTAAGTTTACACATGAGAAAGTTATGATTGTATGGTTGAGTTAGTATTTTATATAAATTTGATTTTGAAAACTCATATGAAAATGTTTAATTAGATCCGGCACGTGGGCTGTGACCGGAGAAGACGTAATTCGAGACGGTACTATTATAATTCCACAGTACGTACGAAACCTCAACAAACTTGTGGTGAGCTTTGTTTTATTATTGGGTATTTGTATAACTAATAAAAAAAAATAAAAAAGCCTTATATTTCCCAATTAAAAAGAGATATACATTTCCAAAAAAAACATATTATTTTATATTAAGTTTAATTTTTAGGGAACCCCTGAGGTGAAGGCCTCCTCCAGAGACTGCCATCTTTCTCGATCTTTTGCTGTATCTAGCCAGCGTACTCCAGCCACACGTAGGATTTCGTCATCCTATCGTGTGTGCGGTCTTCCTCTTTTTCTTTTTCCTATTGGTCCTTTCCATGTTGTAATTATTTTTGTCCATCTATTGTCTTGTAACTTTGCTACATGACCTGCCCATTTCCACTTTAGTCTAAGTGCATATGAAACTGCGTCAATTGCTTTGGATTTCGCTCTGATTTTTGAGTGACGGATTCTGTGTTGTTTTTTGATATTAAACATGCTGCGCTCCATTCCCCTTTGGCATGAGATAATTTTGTTCTTAACAGCGATGCTATATTTCCATGTTTGACATGCATAGATTAATATGGGTGCAGATTTGAATCCATTACTTTCTTTTTTAGTTCCACTGGGAGGTCGCTCTTGAACACTTCTTTAAGACTCCAGTATTTATTCCAAATCTGATTTACTAATAATTATAATTAATTTTTCGGGAGCTATCGAGCGGTATGTTTCTCGAGTGACCAAACACATGTAACATTTACATAACTACTGACATACAAACAATGTAAGACGATGTATTTACTTTTTACTTATCTTTTTCACATTTTAGGAAGGAGACACTGTAGGAGTCATGCGTAAGGAGTTGGGCATCCTGCATTTTTTTGTCAATGGCGTGGATCAGGGACCGGCTGCGTTCAATGTTCCTGAACACGTGTTTGGCATAGTAGGCAAGTTGAAAACTAACCGTGATTTTTTCAATGTCCTAATGTTCTATAATTACAAATTTTATAAGAATAATGTTTCCTTGTCTTAGATTTGTACGGTCGCGCAGCACAAGCGACAATCGTGGACGAATACACGCCACCGCCAATATATTCCCCCGAATCACCACTGTCTTCCGAGTCTAATGCTACAATATTTCCGTGAGTGTTTCTTTTTTTATTCGATTATTGGTAATATCGACTACTGTGTGGTAGTAATTGTTTTATTAAACATGATATGTGATTACGTCTGGAAAGGTTCGCTTTGTTTTGTAAACCTATATGGGGATATTAGATGAATCATTAGTAAGTATAAATAAGAATGTGTGGGTGTGCTGTATTTAAGGACATTAGCGATATTAAATACGCTTTTGTCTCGGGGCTATGTCTAGTCTGGTTGACCTTTTACCTTTCGCTCAATACAAAAATAACTTATCGCCATCATTCTGAGAATGTAGGCAGAGGTGTATTACGCCCACCTTTCGCTAGTTATGTTGGAAATCTCGGATTATTTCATTAGTCTGCTTCTAACCGCCATCAGTGCAACTTGATTGAGATCTACGTTTGCACTCTTTGAGTTCATAAATATATTAGGATTCCACCTAATAACCAGCGCACAAACAATTTCCCAGCCTGGGAAAATATTGCGGAGAAAAGTCTATTTAACCGCCTTCAAAATTGCTTATTTCCGCAGTGAGATGTGCTTCCATCGCGTGCACGGTCGCAACGCGCGTCTGAGCCGCAACCGTCTGACGGCCTGGCGCGCCACCGTCTATTCCGAGTTCAATGACGCCGTGTTGTTTAGCTCACGACCTCTCCGTGAATGCGACATGTTTGAACTTCGTATTGATAAAATGGTTGACTGCTGGATTGGGAGCCTTGAAATTGGTGAGTGAAATACAAAGTCTCTAGCCCCAAAAACTTTAATGTTTTTTTTTATGTTTCTGGGCGTCCTCTGATCCTATACTTTGTACAGGTGTGACGGCAATCCGTCCTGATGATTTGGAAGCTAGCGGTGGTGTCGGTGCGATTGCGGGAACAGCTACCGACCTCAACTGGGACACTTATATCCTCAGTGGAGCAGCTATGATGAAGGATGGGGAGTGCGTGCGAAGTGGATACCCCCTAGACTTGGATACACTCACTGTTGGCAGTCGTGTTGGTGAGTGAACTTAATAACAATGGAATAAAGCTCATTTTCGAAGCCAACCAGAAATATTTTTATTTTTGCAATATCATTTGGTGACTTAGCCACAAGGTTAAAAATGGAATGCACAATGTTAATGTAACTGCAACTGCACAGGTATGATGTGGCATGCTGACCGGAGTCTGCATTACTATTTGGATGGTATGGATATGGGCAAAGCTTGGTATGTGCCCCATCTTAACATTTACGCTGTCGTCGACTTGTATGGCCAGTGCACTCAGGTATGTAGGAAAAAACTTTCATGCACACATTTCGTACTCTAATCTATAAGCAATCTAATTTAAACTTTATATTGCTTCCATAGGTGACAATATTGCAAAATGAAGAGCGGGTGTTTAATTACAATGGATGCACGAATTCAGATAATTCCATGCTAAGCAACTCTAGAGCTATGTCGTCGCCACCACCACCGTATTGGTAAGTGACTATATTCAATTAATTTGGGTATTTGATGCAAACGCACCAATCTGTTGTTTATTTATTGTTTATTCTCATTATTTGTAGGAGCTTCTCCGAGTACGCTGGTGATAATGTATGTTTGTTGCACGAGTATACAGTCGCTCGACGACTGACGTCTGATCCGATGTCGGCGCTCGTGTTCAGTTCCGCTCATCTTGCTTTGGGGGAATTATTCGAGGTAATATACCTCTAGTGAACCAATCTAAATATTATATTAGTAAAGCTTTTATTTTTAGTAACGAAGCTCTTATGACTATCTTATTATTTTCAGGTGAAGATATTGGAGTGTAAACACTCATACGCTGGTAGCTTCCGCATCGGGATCACAGATATCAACATCTTGAATGCGCATGTGAACCGCAGCCTGCCTCCTAGCGTGGCCTGCCTGCCTCACTTCACCGCGTACATTGATGGTAACATACAGTGGTTTTAATCTTATTATTACTTCTTTCAAATTTGGTTCAAGAAAAATATATTTTTGATGTAAAATTAAGTTATGTGAATAATGCAAGTTGTTACCTTAATGATATTATAGTGTGACATTATGATTACAGGGCGCTTCATGAAATACTCTCAACCGGGTACCCGAAAACAAGAGATATACTCGTTTGTCCCGTCGTTCGAGTGGCTGCGTCCCGGAGATAGAATCGGTCTGAAGAAAATCAACGACTCCCGCGTTATCGTCTTCTACAATTCTGAACCACTCGACACTTGCTTCGAGAGAGTTCCCGACGTTAGTATTCGTGAGGCAGGAGTTATTAAAACTTTCATCCGTTTTGTCATAACTCAGGAGGCCGAGGGTTGAGTGACAGTTTGAGCTTTAGAAATTATATAATACTTGACATTGTAATTGCTTTTTAGAACAACGTAGTTGCTGTTTTGAAATTGTAAACTCATTCAATCAATTTAATCACTTGTATCGTGTATTCAAATGTTTATTACTATTAAATGTTAGAAGTCAAGTAAAACAATAGAGGGGTGTAAAGGACCCTTTGTCCGAATGCCAACCTCACCTGCACGCGGTACACCCTGCAAATACCAACGAGGCCGCTGGCGACCGAGGGTGGCGGTATACCCAGCCCGCGCACCTAGCCCCCGGACGATGCCGCACTATTCTGCGGCAGGATCCGGAGTCTAGCAGTGCAACGTTTGTAAACCACATGCGATTACTGACATTCAACCTGGCCTGTGATACTAACCTACTCGCTGCACTAGGCACTTGTTTTCTTTTTGCCGTGCCTGCAAGTTCCGATAATGTGCAAATATCCGAGGGTTTTCCCCATGGAAGATACCAGCCTCATAAACAAATTTCGGAAGGAAAATGGTCGCCATATTTGTTTGATAGAGACATTTTTAAAACAAGTCAAGAACGAAGATATACATGCGAAGGTACTTTAAATTTTATCATAAATGCATGTTTTAGTTGAAATAATAAATGTTCAGAGTTATAATTTTCATGGTTATTTTATGTAACGATTTTTTGTTTCAAGTTAGACCTGCAATACTTAATACTAATTAGAGTTACTTTAGACACGGCAAAAATAGAACATGTTGACTAGTAAGAAACATCATGGAAATAATAAGTTATCTTCTTTTTTGTATAGCTTCAGTTTACATTATAGTCGTTTCAAATTAAATCATATGATTTACTGTCCATAATAGTTAAATACTCATGGTTTTAATTTCACTTTTATGATATTTAGCTTTACCGACGGCTTTTGCTTTTTCTATTTTTTACTAACCATTAACACACGGTTACCTAGAGGAGTGGTCTAACAATAATTAAATAGAGTTGGATAGGCCGAACTGTATCAGGCAAAAGTTTTCAATGTATGATTTAATGAAATATTAACTTATTAATATATGTATTGTAAAAATATACGTTCACCCTATATTACATGGGCTTCATAACATAGTGAAAAGTGGGTGTTACAGTGGTATAATGTGCACCTCTGCCTACCCCTTCGAGGATAAAAGGGGTGATGTTATGTTATGTTAAGTAAAAATGTAGGTTGCTCATATTTATAAGTTGAGATTACTTTGTGTATTTAACTAGGGACGAAGAATTACCATTGTGAGAATTGAAGTAAGCAAAGACAAATTGTCCTGCAACCAATTCGGTCATGGCAAATTAAAAATACGATAGCTTGAAGTCAATGGTAAATAATTATTAAATATATTAATGTTTTTAATTGATTTTGAACACAATTGGTCGACTGGGTTTTTTCGGTGGTTTGTAATTGACTTGTTCGCTTGACTCCCAATGCTTTGGCGCTGAATAATGCTTCAAACGCTACCGCAATGGGGCTATACCATGAAATTATTACAACACATTTTTTTTTTAATACAATGAATAGAACGATGATAAACTAACAAAATTTCATGGTAACCCTTTGCATCCCTATGCTGAACTTCCGAAAAAGCTAATCATCATTTACTAATTGGAAATCGACCCGTGCGATTATATACAAATGTAATAAAATCGCTACATTTATATTTTTTTGCGAAATCGTTTGAATTAATTGTCAAGTATATAATTAACAGTAGTGTCATTAATATTCAAGCTTATAGTATAGCAAAATTACAACCGCTCTGTAGCGGGACATGCAGGACACTAAGATTAACTCTCATTCATTGCTTGCTTTGATTCAAATTTATCGACGACTTATTATTTTATTTCAATTTGAATACTAGAACATTTATAATATCATTTACGCTTGTGCAAAGATACAGCGTCCTTTACATTTTTGAGTAAAATATTTTAATAGCGTTTAATTATATAGTATATGTCTGATATAGTAAAATCATGTATTAATTTTGCCTACAATAAATTTTGTAGATGAATCTAAGGCAGGTTAATTTTCGTAATTTACAAGAGTATAATATCATGTACGATTTTATTACTGGTACTCCTTACATAACAGTATTATCGTGCTGGGATGGCATCAATCAATCAATCAACTACCATCGTTATATTAGATCCTTTAAGGTCAAACTTACATTGTGATGAATGTTGTATAATCTGACTAATTTGGATTGTAAACCGACCTTCGTAGTAGTTCGCAGTTGAAATTAATCTAATTGTGAACTCATTATCGCTTTGGATGAGCGTAGATTGTATTTGGTGGCTGAATCTGACAGGGAAAACTGGAATCAAGTTAGGTGGAGCGCGGCCTTCATGTATTAGGGCCCATTCTGTTGCATAGTTTGGTAGTAATTTGTTCTGATGTGATAAACGTTGATTGGCCGACTACACATCAAAACCTTGAAAGTTGTGTACTAGATTTTAACCGCTGTGAAAAGTACATCATGATGAAACGTGATTTGACTTGAATGAATTGAATCTTCAGATTACGTACTTTTAAGGTTGATATATATTGGGTGATGGATTGTTTACGAGGTCACTTCGGCTTAGCCTGTTTCGTTGGTTGACCAGGTCACAGACAAAGGTCTATACAATGAATTTCATATATACACTATGCAATGAATTTTACAAGAAAGAATTTAAGTAATCAGCGTAATAATTATGTCATGATGGCTTAAGTGGCTACCAACTCTAGGTACTAGGTACTTAGTGAAAACAATGTTTTGTTATAAATTATTGTTATGGGTTTTTTGGATCATGATTGCCTTGATAGATATAACAGAATAAAATACATCAAGGTTATGAGTACAGTCATGCCCTGAAATACCTACTTATATAATAGTTTCGGTATGTATAAGTTAGAGAGGTTGGGTAGAAGATTTGAAGAATATGTACACGACTACGACGTCCGTGGCGGTCTCTCTATTCATACCATGTAAGTCGGGGTATAACTGTATCCAGAAATCATTTACTACTGAATTAGCTGGTTCGTGTCAGTAGTAAATAATATTTCCTTTTGACGAACCGGTATTAAATTTTTCATTTCGATTCTAACTACAAAAAAATATAATTTCTAAAACAAGCCATTGTCAAGTTACTTCAATAATATTTCTATCAGATCAGATAATTTCATACCAAGCTTGCAATGACCATGGAAATCGTGTCTTGGAAATGGAGATGGTCTTCAAGTTTCACAATAATATGGCCATACTCCATTCAAAATTGAATTACATAATATACGAAATATAAAGAAGTATATTTACTAAGTACAAATTGTATAGAAGTGTATTTTGGTGAAATATACATTTGCATGCTTTGCTTGTGTGATGTTATTTCACTGAATTGTACATTTATGAATATGGTTCAAATTGTAATTATGTAAATTTAACTTTTTTACATTTTGTATGATGAAATTATAACAGTGCATGGTATTCTTACCTTTGATATTCCTCGAACCAAATGCCCTCTCTGACCATTATCATATCTCCTTCATATCATCAGCTTCCAGCTTCACACTACTTACTACTAACAACACACTCATTCATGATAAATGACAAATGTTTAATGCAATAGAATTAATGGGAATTTACCTTTAGTCATGCAATCATGTTTGATTTTTATGTAGGAATGATAATGACAAAATATAAATTCAATACCTTTTTGAAATTATAAAACATAATAAGTCTATCCATTAAAAATATTTTGTTTTGGCTATAAAAACATTCCTATTAGAGAAAACATACAGTATAAAAGTAGGTCTTATAATCTATTCACTCGAATCCTTCAAAGGTATATTTCCCGTTAGTTCACACATTTTTTAACTTTAGGCAAGCATAATTAAACGTTATTTTTCTTTGTCGGTACAGAAAGTGTACGTGGTCATTGAATTGTACGGTCACGTCACCAAGATACAAGCAGTCTCCCAGGGAGTTCTCGGGGCTGGACTGAATCAAACAACGAGTAAGTAACAAACAATACATTTTATTTCGTGTCGACTACCCTAACGCAAATACAGAGCTGTACTGAAGCAAACTGAATAATGTTCCTTTCCACGAACCCTTACTACAATTGCGGCTAATCGTTAATGTTTTACAAGTGATTGATACGGTAAGGTGAAGCGGCTAGCCTACCATTACCGTCCTTCACTGAGCTTCATCAATGCTGTATCGATTGAACTGCATTTTGCCCTTAATGTCCCATGCATAATGCATAAGTTACCTTCAACCGTTCTTTTCCAAGGGTTTGTGAGGGATCATTATGTGAAATTGTGTTTATGTTGTGTTACATAAGACAGGTTTCAATTATTAGCGTTCGCTTTGTAGGTCGAATAAGGTTCGATTTAATCCTACTACACTACTGCGATTACCTATGTCATGATAATTAAAAAAAAACAAATACGCCATGAAATGTAGCAACGTAATACGCAACACATTCATATCGAATATTGTATTGTTATAATTCTATTTTATTCTATTCAAAAGACGCAAGACCTTAACATCCAATATATTGCTGAACGATAAGATATTTTTACCTAGTGATTTCTGATTTCGTCTAGACGGAACTTAGAAAATATTATTCAAAATTACAAAGTAATATTATAAATAACTGTTTGCTCTCCGCGACTTCGTATGCACATCCCGTTGCATTTATCTATCTTTTGGGTGTTTTTTTAATATAGATATCCAGATTTATTATTTTGGCTGTGACACATTATATTAATTTTACTGTCTAAGATGCAACTGCATTAGGTACCACATAAATATAATGTTAACTAACTATAAGTTTCGAAACTGCGAATGTCTTGTCTAAGTCAATATGAAGCTTACATGCATGATTTATTGGTATGAAGTAAATAACTGCGATAATTTAATCTCAATTGTGTTTGATTTTTAGTTCCTAACGACGGCGAGGACTTCTCGAAGCGTATAGCGACGCCATTGAATTTAGGCCATCTAAGCAGTGACAATACAGACGAGGTCTTTGATATTCACGGATCGTTAGCGGGTGCCGGGTGCCCACTCGTGGGTGTTCGGCCACGAAATTCTGACCGTACATTTGACTCAGCCGACGATCCCGGTGAAGATACGACGAGTGAGGATAGCGTTGCTGACGATCTAGCCGAAGACGAAGCGTCTGCTACTGAAGACGACATAATGGGTCGTAAGAACAAGGCTCCCATACTAAAGGGCAAATACGCCAAACTTGCCGCACAAGCTGCCCAAGCTGCTGCCGAAGCGCAGGCTGCTGCTCGGGCTGAGGCTAGAGCTGCTGCCCAGGCTCAAGGCAAAGGTAAAGGAAAAGGAAAGCGTGGGAAGGCTTCCTCTCCTCCGAAGGAGTTACCAGCTGCGTCAACGTCTGCTGAACCCACGACTCCTAGTGCGGCGGTAGATGTAGCTGCTGTTGTAACTGCAGCATCCGGCTCTGGCTCCGGGTCGGGTTCGGGCGTTGATGCCGAAGAAGCAGGTGCTCAAGATGATGAGCCTCCCGCCGGTCCGTCCACTGAACCACCGTTCGATCTCTCGGAACCACTGTGCGATCCACCCGCCGAGCCAATCCCTGAGTCCGAGCCCGAGCCCGAGCCGAGTCCAAGCCGCAACAACCTGCCTTACACGTTCTTCAATATACACGGGGTCAACATCAAACTGTGCAGCTCAGGTAAATATATGCTATTAACTATTTCGTCATATAAAATTTAACCTTAGCAGTGACTTCCGGGCGGGTTTTCCCGCTGTTTGGCTCATTTTTGTGGAATAGAATGATGCATAATTCGCGTATTTTTAGCTTTTTCATTTCATCATTTCGGGTGCAATGTGTTTATTACTAATAATAACAGTGTGCAGTTGTTCCTTTATGTGTTTTAAAAGAGCACGTAATAACGATACAAAATAACGTTACAAAATGCATTTCGTTTCTTCCCAGATACTGTGGCGATGCGTTTCCAAGGATACAAAGAAGGCCTGGCAGTCGTTAGCCAGCCATTGCGTCGCGGACATAATTTCAGGGTAAGTTGCGTCGTAAATAAAGCGATGTTTCCTTTTTTCCTGTGATTGCTAGGCGCCACGAATATTATGAACTAGTATTTTAAAATTTTTGCGATGTTACCATGTATTTATTTACAAATACAAAAAACTAAATGTATGTGTAATTGCGGTTAAAAAGCGAATTGTATTATTTTCTGCTAATGCGACAAATCTAAAGCATTTATTTAACATTGCTTTGCATAACATAGAGGGAGTTATTTTCGTGTAACATATTTACTAAAGTTACTTAATTTAAATTTGTACTTAAATATCGTGCCATCTCTGTCATTTTACAAAGAATTTGTAGTGACAAATAGATCTATAGATAAGCGCAACTTAAAATTTAGTGGCATTTGAGTATTTGGACATTAGTGAAATATGCACTTGCGCCTTGTCGACGACATATTCAGATGTTTTAATATAACTTACCAGACGAACAATAAAAATAAAAAGTTATCTACCCTATTGCTTGGCGTCCAGTTGTGATATATATATAAACCACAAATACATTTAACTTCGTGCTTTATATAAAACTAGTTACTCCCGTGCTGCTCGGCTTAATATATTCCTTTCAAAAATAATTCATGACGTTCATACAAAATATATTTATTGGATTTATAGTATATAAAACTTGATATAATATATCGGATATATAATCGTAAATATATCCCGGGTCGGGCAAAGCATTACTGGGGTTTTAAAAAATTATCAGTAGTAGCACGAAGTCTAGAAATGTGCTCGGTATATGACAATATGTTCACCTCCTATAAACATGGGACTCATAACATTAAATAGTAAAAAGTGGGTGTTACATTGTACATGTAAGTAATTAAGTGGCGTAGTGTGCAACTCTGCCCACGGCTCTCTGCAATAAAAGGCGTGATGTTATGTTACGTTATATCATAAATATCCGATATTTTGATATTTATTATGAACTAGCTTTTACCCGCGGCTTCGCTCGCGTCACAAAAGGATAAAAAGTAGCCTATGTGACATATACTAATACACACAGCGCCATCTATACCAATACTTTTGTTTTCCCTCGGTAATATCAATTTTTCCGGGATAAAAAGTACCCTATTATTTAATCCAAACTTCTAACTTTACGTCTGCAAAAATTCAAAGCAATCGGTTTAGTAGTTACGGCGTGATAGCGGAACAAACAAACAAACTCACTTTCCAATTTATAATATTAGTAAAGATATTAGTAAAGATACTGGATATTTTTGAACCATGAAAACAACCCCCACTTTGGTTTTATGATTACAAGTGTTCTCTATACACGAATACCTATGTCCTGGCTCGTGCAAAATACATACACCAAAGTTTTTCTGTATATAATAATATACAGAAAATTGTCAGCTATAGCAAACAATCATAACGAAAAGCTAATAACATTAATGGCGAAATGTTTCTACTAGAAATTCACATTTGTACTCTCTTGTTTGTGTGATAAGTTACGTAATGTTCACTATATTGGCACAAATCTGTATATGGTGTTTATTTTGTTTCAGTTCCGTGTGGACAAGATGTGTGATGATTGGGTGGGCACCATATCCATTGGAGCAGTGGGCACGCTCCCAGCCGAGCCTATCAGGAACGGCATCCCCATGGAGACACCCTGCTGGATGCTTTCCAGCGATATGATTAACGACAACGGGACATTCGTAAGTATTTTAAATATTCCTGTTTTGCTTTCACCCGTTGAGGAGACGCTTCTGTGGACTTGTTGCGCAAGGGAAGGGCACAAAAGCGCGTGGCAAGTCATCAATGTGTTGAACCGATTAGATCAAAATTACACTCAATGGTCCGCTTCAACAATTCACAAAAAGTTACAGTGCGCAAGGAGTGGTGACGAATTGTAAAGCCAGACAGGACGACCACGGCCACTCTGCCAAGAGTGGTACGACTAGGAAGGTCGATCGATGATCGAGGTTAATAGTGTATTATTGGATATATAACGTCTAACAGCAGTCAGAAAGAGCTGGTGATGGTGGGTTTGGTGCCCACATCGTCGTATATCTAATTAAAACGGCTTCAAGCAGCCTGAAATATGTATATTCGGTGGTGATTCATCTCTTTGGTTCAGAAGGCATGTAAAGCCTTTCGACCATCATTTAATCTCGGTGGTGTCGGGTCGCCATTCCATCGAATGATTAAGACTGACCTAGTGTGTGTGTTTTTGCAAACGTTCAAGTATATTACAATAACTGCTAAGTATGGTGGATCAGACTAGTAATAACTATAAATATTATTTTTGTTTATTATGTCTCCGAGTGGTGATGGCATAGAATACATTAGTCCCCACTCCTCTTGCAGCGGGTGTGATTAGAGCGACATATTATATAACATAATCCAGACAGAAGCGCTCTCCCGATAAAGTTGATTCTTTTAAACTGCAATCGTGTCCTTGTATGCCATGCGGAATAAACTTCTTCTTCATCTAAAGCAGAGGAGGCCCATAGTACAATAGTGCATTCTTATAGGTTGTAATTTGGATCTTTATTATAATGTTACAGTACCACTCGTTGATCGGGATGGTGTTGGAAGATCTGACGGAGCAGTCGGTCCTCACTCTACACTTCCGATTCACCAGTGAGCTGGTACTGCAGGTCAATGGGAAACTGATTGGCTGCATAGCTACCATTCCGCGCAGGTTCAGCCAGGTATACCCGGCTGTCGACTTATATGGCACGATTTGTCAGGTATGTACTATTATATTATATAACTTTCATAAAGTAAAAAACACGTAATCAGTACCGTATTTACCATAAAAGCACTCGAAGCCCGTGCCCGTATCATCAGGGGGCCCCGAAGCATCGGGCATACACCTGCTACACATACGCGGTAACTGGCTGCCGCGTAATGTGTAGCGGGTTCGATACCCACACGGAGGTGTGATCGACATATCGGTGCTCCGTGTCTGAGTGTCATGTGTATGTGAACTTGTATATTTGTAAACACACACACGATACAGAAGAAGATACTAAATCCTAAATAACATAAAGAGTGAAAAGTGGGTGTTACATTATATTTGGCATTAAGTGCCGTAACATGCACCTCTGCCTACCCCTTCTGGGATAAAAGGCGTGATGTTATGTTATTTTATGAATATAAACCGTATGAACTCTTCTGAATGAATTACAAAATAAAAAAAGCTAAAATGCGTTTAACACTTTGGTCAGTGACTGCATAAGATAACGTGTCACTTATAGTTAGGTATTTATTAGTTTTATTTAACACATGAAAACCACATAATGTAACAATTTGATTAAATACAGTTATTATGCATCCTAATTCTTAAAACATAATAATTATTATACGCTGGTGCTATGTGAAATACTCGTTTTGTACTAGTTAGATCATGAGCACTTTGTGTGTGGGTGAGCATAATGGTTTGAAGTTTAGCAGAAAACTTCAAGTTATCTCTCACTGTCCATCTAACATCTTATCTGGTAAAAATGACAACCTAAATTAATGAATACATGGTACACATGTATGCATTTAAGTTGTCATTTCATTTATTTATTCATTTAACAATTTACATAGTGCCTGTAATTCAATAAGTACAAATAAAAGAGACAATCAAACACACAATTTCATTAATTTACCTACATACTTAAAAATTTAGAAGATATCCAATGTTACAATACAGATACTAAATATTGAACCACACAGGATAAGAGCAGCTCTAGAATTATACGTTGTATTTAAAGTTGACGTTTTGTAATTCCAGGTGTCAGTGTTACTGCATCCTTACGTTATTACAAGCGGAGCATCGCTCGACTTGCCAGTCATCAGCGAATTTCAAGAAGAGTCATTTGATGGTCTCTCAGATGATGAAGCTGAAGCGGTAAGCGAAGGGCAAACGGAAAGGAAACGCAAGAAGAAAGCCTACAGTCAAGATAATCTCATTAATGATGAAGATCTCCATTGGGAGCCTCCGTACATGCCCGCCGGGCCCAGTCATGGTCTTAGCTTCACGCCCTACCGTGTGCCAACTCCTCTTCCTTACCGTACACCGAGCCCATATCCAAAAACAGGAGCGAAGCCGCTGGAGAGCCCAGAGCCAATCCCTGTGGTTGTTATTAAGAAAAAATATAAAAAGAGTAAAAATAAAGATGCCAGAGTTCGGGCCGTTCTAGCTGAAGCCCCAATGTACACAAGCCTTAATTTACCGCTGTACCAAATCGCTGATAATAACGAGATGGTGAATCGCTGCATTAAAAAGAGTCACTCGACGCACAACTTTTCCATATCGAGCGATGAACAGGAATCTTCCAGTTCTCTCCGACACACGAGCAGTGTGGGATCACAAGCCGACGACGACAGGGAACTACGTCGTCGCGTGGATATGTACAGACCACCCGTCGGATCATTCTTAGACACCAACATACGTCACAATGATCGTTACCCAGAAGTGAGCGATGTGGACAACTTGGACAATGAAATAGTTGACGCCCTTACTATGGAGACTGGGAACTTGCCCGATCTGACTGAAGAACAGTCATCGTCTTTTGAAAATTCGCGTCGCGATGATTATTGGGCTGATTTGTTGCCGGTGGAGTACATGCGCTACCTCAACCGCATCATGTGCTTGGATCAGGACGGGGCTGCTTGTCAGAGCTTGGAGTCTGAGTGGGAGGCTTCTGGGCAGGGTTGCGAGCACCTGCACCTCGTGCTTAAGTACTGGAACCATCTTGTTGTGCCGCATCCGGAACTGCGCCAAGCGGTGTCCTGGGGACAGGTGCGGTGCTACTGTGCCAATTGCTTTCCTGATGATCGATCACCATTCGCCGGTAAGCTGATGTAACAAATTCAATTAACATGAATTTTTAGCTGTCGAGGGTAGCTCTGGTCAGATATTAATATTTTTATCGTTATTCAGATTTTAAATTTGACAGAGAGTAGGCAAAAGAGCTCTTAGATAAACCTGAACCATTTTAACTGCAATCTGCAGACCACTTGTTAAGCGTAGAAGTTATAAACCCTTCTTATGTATATTAGAGAAATGATCCTACAGTGCACCGTCACGAGCTGTTCATGGTATTACATTACAATATAGACAACGAAGACTGCTTATAGTAATAGTTAAAAATAATAAAATAATTGCAGGCTGGGTACGTATCGAGCGTATTGACGGCGTTGGCGCCGCGCAGCGTGGTTTCTGGCATGTAGTGCGGGGTACACTGACCGCTGCGCAAGCCGACGGCATGGACCGCGGGCCCGTGCGCCGTCCCAGGGGACTATACTCTGAACCCGTTTCCTCGCTGCCATTCCATGACGTGTAAGCAATTATTTATTCTTTTTTTTAGATACATGCATCGGGTACAACACGAGGTTATTAACGGGAATTAGCGATAATCGAAAACCTCCAGATATTGCATGTCGCCACGCTGCCACGTACTGGGCACTGAGTATTTGAACTCTGACTATCTCATGTGGTGTTATTTATCTGTTTATTGGCATGTGTACTATGTGTAGTAGGTATAAATCTACAATACGCTGGCACAGAGGAAATAAGTTTATCTAGTGTTTTCCGTTAAATATTTTTATGGGCGTAATATACACATCGTAAACTGTAGAGAGCGAAAGAAAAACATGACCTAACATTTACTAACCTATATTATGGGCTGGGTCAACCAGAATCACACCATGCCATCGCAGTCATACTACGAAATTCAACGCTAGTATTATATTTCGCCATGTGAGTGAGAATATTGACCCCCAAAGGCCAGAAACGCACTTTTAACTTCTTTCCAGTTGCGAATGTCTTGTCCATGAGTGGCATCCATTCCATACTATTAAGTGATCAGTCTGCTTGACAAAAACTTGACGTCTATATTGTGTGTTTCCAGGTGGCTGGACGATGAGGGGAAGCCGCATCACAGCTTGTTGTGTATAGAGATTGATATCGAGTAAGTAAACTTTTCTATCAGTTTATCGCAGTGACCAGTACTTAAATCTCTCTCAAAGCATTTGTTGTGACATAACTATATTCAAGCGCGATTTAAAATTGAGTGGTGTTTGAGTATTTCAACATAAGTATACAATATAATATAAGTGTTCGATTCTTGGTCGAATTATTTAGCTTTGTTTTTTTGATAGACTACATAGTTCAGTACGCCAAGGTGTATCAGTACTTAGACGGACGAATCCTTGGCTCTAAGTTAAATTGTGCTTAGCCAGACATTGAGCTTAGTGAATGACTGCAGTAACATGGAATGTAATATTTGGCTTGAAACTGAGCTACTTAAGTTAAGAATCATATTTACAAACAGTACGTGATGACTTGGTTCACGGGCCGTTCACTGGCCTTGTACACGTCGAAATCGCGCAACATTATATATATAACTCTTTGTGGTGGTAGCGAATTTTTGACATATTCGCCAGTCGTATTCACGCCTGACATTTCGAAATATTTTAATACTTTTGACTTTGTCTTTTTTCTAATATAAAGGCTGCTCTGCACATTAGGCCAACGTATTAGGCCAATATAGTAAATTGTCAATCACCTTTTTGTACATTTCAATAAAATGTAAAATCTCAGTTTTCGTCCTCGTCATTGTAATTTAGACGCGAATTGGACGTTGCGTGTGAACGCCGTTTGCGGAGTACTCCAAGTTCCTTTAGTGTGCACACGAAAAACCGACAACTTTCGGTTGGCCCGCCAACGTTGGCCCAATGTGTAGAGCCGCCTCTATATCATCATCATGGTAATCATCAGCCCAATAAGGAGTTGAAAACAGACAGATAGTTTATAGAAATGTAAATGGAAAATGGGATACTGCAAGCGTATACCTCAACTATAATATTTGCTAATTTATTAAATTATTTTTCTCTTAATTTTCAGGGGCTCGAACGAAGAAAACGATCGTCTACTGGCGTTCTTGATCAACTTGCGCCCACAATTGACTTTTCCTGACGACTACTCAGAATAATCGTCTTTGCATAATTATACTCTACTTGTCATCCTCTGTACTCTTTGATAGCACCGTGAACATACTTATAATAGAGGTAAACGTATTCTATCATGTCCGAGATACAGGTGTACTCATCACGGTGCGAATTTTTTGAATTGATATTATTATATGTTAGTAATTAAGGGACGCAAGACGGTTGTCGTTTAAGTATTATTAATAGTATTTAATTGTAGATCTGTGCCGTTAGCAAGGCATTTTCGCTACAGTGTTTTTTGATCTTCAGGTTGAGTGTCTGGAGTACTAAAAGTAATCATGGAACTGAAATAAAGCCATAGTTTTATGAAAACGAAATAAAATTTATGTTGACTATTGGTTCAATCTCATTAAAATTGAACAACGATATATAAAAATATTAGGAACATTAATATTTTAGCATTTGACGACGTGACATTTAGAGGCCATTATCCAGTTCCCAAGTGAAGGAAAAGTGTGAATGAGTAGGACCCTTGAGTGGAGCGAATCAGCTTTACAACTTACAAGTATTATGACCCGTTTCACATACTCCAGATAGCTACTACCTTCCATATAAATTATAATATTGTAGGAACTATCTTCCATTAACTTTACCGGGTATTTTTTTTAATGAGAGTAGTGAAACAGGTTCGTAGTGTAACAGAGGAGCGTGTGTTATTGTGGTGCTCGTAGGCGATAGGACTAGCCGCTTATGCTATGGATAGATAGGCACTATTTGCTCGCTAATGTTGACAGTAAGATGGCTTTGTGATAGTGAAGCATTGAGGTTATACTTGATACGGTTATGGTAATTAAATACATATCCATCTAATGGCATTGTTATTTACTTTGCACTACCGAGATAATGACGAACAAAGTTTGGGATTTCTAAACCACTGAGTCAATTTTAAGTAACCTGCATAGTTTGCACTTGAGAAACTGGTTTATTTACGTATCTTGTATAAACTCCTTGCACCAGTTACGTGCGGAGCTCGGTAGGTAAGCGAGAACAAGAAATGTTGTAAGAAATTTGAAATTGTAGCGAGAACAAAGTTCTAAAAGTATTGTTGGTAGATATGACAATAAATTTGCTAACACCTATTTTTATGAGAAATAAAATTGGTGGGAAGGCTTTTGCGATCAATTTCAATTAAAATATTTAGTGCGGTGTAACTGCAATTTCAACAGTTAGTTCAATATTTGAACTGTACTGGCGTGGCGTGTGGGATGTGAAGTCTATGTGCACTGTAGGATCAAAAGACACTGTACAGTTTACTACTAGTCACTTGATATTGTAACACCTCATGGAACTTATCCTCCACAGTCTATTTGATAATAGCAGCCTTAAGCACATTACTTTCGTGATCTCAGATACTCTTACATTTTGTTAGTTTATATTTGCGCAATATTACTTTACGTTTATGGAAGTATTGATTTAGCCCAGTTTAGATATTGTTATATGTTTTAAGGATGCATTCACAGTAGAGTTAGGAAGCGATGGGAACACATTAGCTTTCGGTGCTGTTTATAGAAGAGTGACGTATGTATTGTTGTGTGATAGTGAGCGATGAGACTGACCAACTGTGGCTGAACCCTTATTTCATTAGCTATGTTCCGAATAATAACCAGTATGTGTTAAAATATTATTTTATTATATTTGGAAATGCTTTAAAGATATTTTATGATTAGAGTATGATATTATTTATTTTATTTTGCAGCTACAATGCAGCTATTTTAAGATAATACTATTATATGTCTACATATTCATAGTAGGTAGAGGGCGACTATTCGCACAATCGTTTAATGTAATCATTAGTTAAGCAAGATTCGGACATTTTGAACTTTCAGTAGCGGTATTCATTATCCAATAGATGTTAGTATATATGTTATAGTGCTGTCAATGCATGGAAACTGCATGTTACATATGTAATGAATATATATGTCGGTTTAATTGTCGAAAACAATAAATGTGTAGAATTCATTGACATGTGAAAAATTCTGTGTGTATAATGTTCTGATGAAATAAATGACTATCATGATCGGTTTTATTTTCATTATAAAGCAAAATGTAACGTAAATGTTATTACAGTTATACTATTTCATTTCAAAGAATATACTTACATTAGATAGTAAACGGAACAATAACAATAGTTTGAAATGATTCCTAAGTTTTGTTTGTGTTTTTTCTACAGTAGGCCAGAGGCCTACCCCAGCGTATTAAAGCAGTATTACTATTATATTACCCATTTGTTAACAATGTACCTATAGTATATTAGACAAGACTATATAAGTGGATTCCCACTCATACTCGATATCTCAACTATTATTATGTACCTCTTCGAAATGTTCTACGATCTTTGAAATGTTACACAAGCGTTGTTGCCGAAGTTTTATTATCATTTATCTATAAATATTTTATACCAAACATGTTCAGTTAGTCAGTATAAGCTCTGTATGAAGTTGTTAACTTCTTAACACTTTGTCACGTCATGTGTACGTGTGTTTAGCTGTACTTCCAATTTCGTGTCAGGAGAGAAATCAAGTGTTAATCGATCCTTTGTACTTACATAAAATCAAGAAATTCTGAAAATTTAAATATTTTCGTCTTAAATAACAACATTTTTGAACCCCCTTGTAAAACAGCCCCCTGTATAGAGATATGGTTACTGATTGACAGACAGGTTTCGTATGACATTGGTTAAGGTGGGCCCACTTACAATACCTTCGAACATTGAAACTATCAAAGTATGGATGACATGACGATGATTTGCTTAACTAGACTTGTACTAAATTCCTATATTTATGGTAAATGAATCGTAATTAATACAAGTAGTCCCTATGGTCCCAACCTTATAAAACCAAGGCATTATTACCGTACAAATAAATTATCTTTTAAATGAAAAACAGTAGTTGATAAAAATGATCTTATATTGATTTTTAATGATTTACAACAATGATTGTATCCAAAAACGCTACTAACTAGGGACTTAAGTTTAAATTAAATTATCACTGTTCGTTTCTTAATCACGTTTAAGTGAGATTCGATACAGTATTAGTACATTAATACACTAACAGCCGCAGTAATAGTTCCTACAGATAATAATACAATTGTTTAGTAATATAATATTATTATTAATAAAAATCGAATGGTTTCTGTTCGGTTGCCTGTGACTGCGGCTACAATAAATATGAAAGACTAAATAGTAACAATTCAATTCTTATGTTACCTACAAGCAGGCTTCAAGTAAATAAAAATAAGTGTCAGCTTGTGGTGTAACAAGATAGCATTTGTACACGAAGTAGATAATGATACCCGTCAAATATCTAATGTTCTGTGCTCAGTCTAAAGTCTCACCGAATTCTAATTGTATCGTGAATCGTAGCAAGTGATTGAAGAGTATAAAACTATCTAAACACAATTCAGCTAATCTATTTACAAGTTTAACAACATCGAAATATCAGGTGACATCTAAACATTGAACGTAACACCTTGAAACTTGCACTCACCCGGGGGTAAGTGTAGGTTCCGGTGTAGGTACATCGACCTAACACTGTCGAGCTACAGATACGTAAGTACTAGACTATCAAATCGTTTAGATAAATAGTGACCAAAATACTTCTAATAATTCGCATGTATACGTTTATAAATGTTCTTAGTATTAAGTACAGAATTTATCCGTGTGTATCGAATGTTCAGCGTGTGGTCGTTTGGGATAGCTCGTCAGGTAGGCGTGGTGTGTCTGCCATGCACCGGGGCACATGTCAGCATTCGTGAGGCGGGCGGGGTGGTAGGAGCACTACCACACTTTGCATTTGTTGATGGGGTTCATCGGTGATCCGCCGGGGCATTTGAAATCCTGGGCGAACTCCTCCATATTGGAGAAGGGGCCGACGACACGGAAACGTCCGGGTGCATGGAATCCGGTCGTGATGCGCAGCTTGATCGCTTCGTTCCGGTATACCGAGCACCAGGTGTTGGCCGCACTCAGCCAGAACAGCTGCAAGCAAGCAATACTTATCTAACCGATGTTGCGGTGCACGATATCCGTGACTGGATTTTAGGTAACAATTAATTAGGCAAAAGTATTTTGAAGATTGATTTAAGGTTGCACATAATTTGCAACGATGACGTCATAACGCTGTAATAGGTTGCATCTATATTTATTACAAGTTGCAATGTTATGTTTCAACAGTTTGTTACCTGTTTGGGAGTGTATTTCTCAAGTCCGGGTAGACGAGCCTCGTCTCCGTGTCGCTGGGTCCAGGCCTGGTACGCGTAGTAAGCCTCTTTGATTCCACCATTGTCAGCAATATTCTCACCTTGGGTGTTTACTCCGTTCAACTGAAAAACCCGAGATGCAATTAAATTTGTGAACATGATCTAAGAAGTTACTTAAATAAATGAATTTTACTGGAATATGTTTATGACAAGTCATAAATTTAATGTAGTTACATCTTACAATAAGTAGCTATCCATTTTTATCACGTTTCTTGTGACGTACCTAGATAAAAATCGTGATATAGGTACCTGGCTACGTACGTACATATCTATAGGTACAGTTTTATAGATTGTTCAACAAGTTATTTTACCTTGAGTCCGACTTCAGACACGGTGTAATTGGAGTACTGGTCAATGATGCACTTAGCTTTCTCCAAATACTTCTGCTTGGTCATCTCTTGCCACCAGTCAACCAAGTTACCATTCCTGTCAAATTGACGACCCTAAAAAAAGAAGTGAGTCAGTCAAATACAATTTATCAATAAAAGAAAAGAAAACAACTTTAGTACTTATCGATATGAATCTATCTGTTGTAAGTGAAGGAACTATTTCTATTATTATTAACCCATATACCTATTCTCAAATTGAGACATAGGGCACATGATACGTGAAGTACCTACTTATAAATAGTAGAATGACTAGTGTATGTGCGGAAAGAATAAGACTGAACAAATATAAAATAATAGTTTACTATTACGGAGATTAATAATAAATAGCTTTAAGGTAAATACTTAAGTATCGATACTTGCCTGATCGTCGAAACCGTGAGTGATCTCATGACCGATGACGAAGCCAATGGCGCCGTAGTTCATGTAGGCGGGACGTTTGGCTGAGAAGAACGCACCTTGCAGGATACCGGCAGGGAACTCTGCAATTTAAATTTAAATTTTACTATCCACGTCGAGCTCAGGCTAGAGAGGCTGACCTTAGCAAACTTTGTATTCAAATCAAACTATCAGTGTAGGTATGCACAAAGAAAATATATAGTCATAACATAATTACTCAGATACGCTGGTGACAAAGGACAATTAGAACTCTTTTATGTCTTTGAAATCTTACAAATTAACGGTTTTACTTACGAATACTGTTTTCAATGGAAGAATAGAATGCGTTGACGATGGCGGGACGGCCATGGGTCACCCAGTCGGTCTTGTTGACTGGTTCCCTGAGCTTGCCAAACAAGTATTCGGTACCGAACAGTGTCAAGTTCAGTACGGACTCCATCAGTTTGTCCGAAGACATTTCCAACTAAAAAATTGTGATCGGAATTAATTTCAATTCTAAGCATGCGTCTTTGAATCGACTTTATCCATTCACGTGTACGAGAATTATGCAATTTGAAACAACAACGAAAGTAGGTAGGTACGTTGTTATACGGGTTAGGTAGCGTACCTAGTTAAGAAATACCTCTTATTGATTTATTTAGAAAATTTACATATATATAACACTACACCCATTAAGTTATACCTACTGTTAATCTTATAATAAATACTATTACGGCCTAACTATACGGATTAACTACGTAACCTATAACTTGGTAATGGTTTATATAGGTACTCTTAGCATGTAGTGTTCTTTGTTATTTTAGTAGGTCTTTTTAACTAGGAATTGTATAAGACGAAGTTTGAGAGGTAACTTACTCCATCGTAGAATTTCGCCAATTTGTCATTATCCAACATCTCACTGGGGTAAGCAATATGCGAGGCCATGGAATCAGCTTTCTCCAATGCAGCCTGACGGGTCTTCTCGTCCATCCAATCAACTTCATTCAGGGTCTTACGGAACTGTTGCCTGAGGGAGACACAAGTTTTGTTATAGCTTTAATCATGACACTCAGTTAAAATATTCTACATCTACATCGATAGAACTTTACTTGCATTTTTATCCTTCGTTTGAAATTAGTAATGGGTTGCTATTGGATCTCAACTAATGTATCAGCTCAAGTTTTAATTTGTAAATGAACTATCGAGTAATTTAATTTAATTTAATTTTAAATTGTTTAATGTTGTTGTGCAGTATATAGTTTAATGTTGAACACTTGACTTCTTAAAGCTCCATACCTTGTACTTTTTGTTGCATAACCCAGTTAGGTATATGTCATCATCATCATCATCATCAGTCGGAAGACGTCCAACAGCTGAACAACATACAATAAATAGCCTCCGATGTCGTCGATACTTAGCGGTGGTGTTGAGCATAATTTAGTCGTGATTTATGACCAAATGATTGATTAGAGTTAGGTAATCTTAGTCAACAAATCATGGTTAGATTTTTTGGTTAAAAACCTCGCGACTCAAGACTAGATTTAATCCATAGTTTTTAGCCAAGATTGATTATTATGTAAACATTAGTCATGTCTAAATTAGTCAAGTTATGATGATTGATCAATCGATTGACAATAATACATAGTTTGTCCAACTCTCCCCAGCGGAAGAGCTGCCTATAATGCATCTACCGGTCCCCGGTCGTCCCTTGTACTTTAGTTGCATTTATTTAATATGTTAATAAATGTTGTGTAAATACCTGATGTCGTTCACCATTTCCAAAGCATTGGCTTTAGAGTTCTCGTTGAAGTATTTCCTGATGTAAAGGGCACCCACAGCGATCGACATACTGTAATATAAAATCATTAGGTTAATAAACCAGTACTTAGGTGGTAGCTTATACTTCGGTATGTTTAAAATTTCTAAATAAAATAAGATATAGGTATAACTTAATGGGTAAGTTAAAGTAACATTGAATTTATTCCGTGGAAAGTATGTGTTTGAATATTTTTCAAGTTGCAAATATTTATACATATTCCAAGTTACATCTTTAAAAAGAAGCCAAAGAATACCTACGAATAGAAATAAAATATTGGAGAGCCTTGCTTTTTAAAATTCTCGGTAATAGATAGTTAAGTATAGATCGTAGCCTGCTATAGTACCCGTAGAGTGCGGTAACCCTTCTTGGACCTATGATGTAGACAATGTTTCAAAATCGTTTACCAAAACATCTATTTACTTCTAGTTACTGCTTATCAGCATACGTTCACGGTGACACGTGTAGGCGAAAACTATTTAGTACCTACTTACGGTAACGATACTACTCTGTAATGGAAATACAAAATTAACTACCTACTTAATTTGTCATTACAATACTATTGTCAAGTCCACGTGTATAGGTAGATTGTACTAATGACTCAGGATTGGAATGTTTATCACATTCCTTCCTAGCAAAGGCCTTCCCGAGGTACAGTGGAGTGCGATACAGATTTTTTCATTAGCTTTCTAATTTTCATTACATTCTAGATAAATGTTGAAAGAAATTAGATATTTTCATATGATAATTTTTATATTACATTAGCTTTTAAGTAGGATTGCCATTTGTTCAGGGGAAGGAGAGGCATAAAACGGACTTCATCTGTCTCAAGCCCGGCTGGCAATCAGCATTTTGACTATGTTATGGTCATTTGTGAGTTAAAAAGACTACGTATTTGTATTTGCTGCACATTAGCAGCTGTCTAGTGCACAACAAGTGTCTCCCAGCCTTTTAAAAGAAAAAGGGTTTGCCCTTTTTATTACATATATTAGTATTGTAATACAAGTCGTTTTGTTAAGTCGTTATTTGATTTTCAGCGACACATTCCTATAAGATTTTCATTCGACGCATTATTTAATACTTATAAAGGTAATAAACCGTACACCAAGAATATGTTTTCAGCCCCAGCAGACCAACTAACACGAAGATATTAATTGAATTAGCCAATGACGTGTACTTTCCATAAAAGGCGATAAGGTTAGCGTTAAAATGATTGTTTGCCAACAATTGGCAACAATTCACGTTATGTCTAAACTATTCATTTTTTATGTTTAGTGCGAGTTTTTTAAGCGTTTACAAGATCATTATTTTATTTCATGATAATAAGAACAATTAGAATTGGTTTGTAAAGTAAAAAACTAAAGAACTCTGGCGCAGTGTCTGAACGGTTGGGCGTTGGGCCTACTGATGTAATTCGTGTCACCGTTTGTGTTTGGTTCGGAACAAACATTAGGATACCATTAGTCGTATCCGGTCCGAATGAGTTGCGATAACTTTTTGTAAATGCAACTCTACAAAAAGGACTCAACAAACACATCGTTTGTTTTTAAAACAATACCCAATTAAGATATAGAGAGAAACGTAAGCTTTAAGTACCTACAATTCTTGTTATGCTTACTTTAAATAATATTTATACTCAGTCATACATAGCCCCCGTTGCAGAGTCACTCAAACAATGTAATACTAGTATTAATAAGTTTGCTATCTTCATTCATCATTTCTTTTATTTTCCAAAAGGTAATAGAAGGCGATACTCTTTCTGTACGAGTCTACCGGACATAGTCACCTGAGCATTAAGTCCGGCTCTATATCGAATAAGATCATCATATCAGTCACAAGATATCCACTGCTAATACTATTTTCCATCTGATATGAATAGACCCTTAGAGGAATAGGACTTGCCTAACGCTAGTGGTGTCAGCACATTCCTTCCACCGGCTCTCTCTTTCAGTCTTTCCAGAGAGAGCGGTCACGTAAGCCAGTTGCCGTCTACGCAGGTTGTCAGTCAGGTAGGATACCGACGCGCCAGCCACTCGCCACATCACATAGTTCGCCTGCACACGTTTCGGCGTCGATTGCAGAAGGAGCTATTCAAAAAAGAAACAACAGGTTAATTGAGTAAACCATATTTTTTTAAATCAGTATAGTTATAGTTTAAATTGTCACTTGGTCATTAAAGAATATGAATGTGGAGGTCTGGTGGTAATAGAGGTAGGTTATAATAGCTTTCTTTAGAGTACTGATAGTGTAAAATAATGAGTGAACATCCTTAAAACAGGTATTAGATAAATATATACACAATAGGATTTTCTCCTGTGTCGTGGGTGCGTTTACGAACATACAAGTTCACATACACATGACACCCAGACCCGGAACAACAATTTGTGGATCACACAAAGAGTTGTTCCGTGCGGGAATTGAACCCGCGTCTCGTTGTGCGGCAGACAGTTGCCCAGGCAACGCGTCAACCGTGCAATCATGTGCCGTGCAAAACGTCAAATCAAAAATATCCTAATCTGCTCTGGAATTGGTTTCTAAAAGCACAATTGCATGTATTAACTCGATCTCAGGGGTATTTGACCCAGGTTAAAGAGGTATCCCGTCTAAGCAACAACACAGGATGTTACCATCGATACTAGTTAACTAGTAGGTACCATTTATAACGAAACAAGATCTCCACTTCTCTAGATACACTCGCTTATTTCATATCAATACAGCTTTCTTACTATATCGTCCGCCAGATAGAAGTTCTGAGAAAATCTAATTACGGATGTCTTATTTAGTTCATAACTAATTAGTTCTCCGATTATAAATAGGTTATGAAGGTAATCAGGTAGCTTCAGGTTACCTAGGTTCCGAGACACGTCCATAATACTGTCTAGCGTCTATAAATAAAGCGTTTCAAAGCTTGTCCCTGGACGTCACCGTCGATGTTTTTCTACTAGGTCGCAATTGATTGGCATATCTATTGTTCAGGAAAATAAGTATCTCAGTTTAATACGGTTATAATCTTAGCTTTGTTCATGGATCACTCGTCATATTTTTTTCGCTCGTATTATTATCTGGTACTAGCTTCTGCCCGCGACTTCGTACGCGCAATCCCATTTTCCCCCCGTTCCCGTTCGTGATTTTCGGTAAAAAGTAAAAAAAAAGTATTGTTTAAAAAGTATCCTATGTCCGTCTCCTGGTTCTAAGGTACCTCCCTGCCAATTTTCACCTAAATCGATTGAGGCGTTCTCGAGTTATAAATAGTGTAACTAACACGACTTTCTTTTATATATATAGATTACAGACTATAGGTAAAACTAATTGGACAAATAGATACATACCTCTAAATCAGAAATGTATTTGGGTACGCTGACGATGGCAACTTCGTCTTCTCCAACCTTCACGTGGGGAGCGAGCAGGCGGTTGATATATTCCAGCCAAGGGATCCTGTATAAATATCATTATTAGAAAAGTGCATACATACCTTCTCGTCTCGGGTTCGGTTCCCGGGTCGAGCAAAGTATTACTGGGTTTTTAAAAATCTCAGTAGTAGCACGGAGTCTGGAATTGTGCCCGGTATATGGCAATAGGCTCACCCCCTATTACATGGGACTCATAACATAAATAGTGAAAAAGTGGGAGTTACATTGTATAGTGGCATTAAGTGCCGTAATGTGCGCCTCTGGCTACCGTGAATAAAAAGCGCGATGTTATGTTATGCATACTTACCATACTACTGGTAGAAGTTTATTATGTAGGTGTTTTATTTAATTTCAATTTCTTTATAAAAAGAATTGTCATGTAGATAATAGAGGTAAATATGGTTATGTACTTCAGTGTTTCTCTCAACTGTTGTGCTCTTTTTATTTCGTAAATCTAACAGATACAGATTACAAAACACAATCGAATGAAGAATTTATGGTTAAAAGTTGCTTTGCATGGGTCATAAATAAAATTATCGACATGGTATAACGCCTTAGTGAAAGCCTAAATTGCTTAAAAAGTAACAATCTAGAAAGAAAGTAGGTGATGTGTTGTTCTGAGTCACTACAACCGGGTCAGGTCATGGTTAAGCGTGTACAATAATCGTACTGCAACGTTCAGAAATTGTTTGAAACTCAAGTAAATCTAAATTGAAGTTATTACCTATGATCTTAAATTACGCATTGTTGGAGATCAAATGTCGTAGCGAGCAAGTATTGCAATAGTTCGGCTAGTCCCGCAACTCCGCTAACGTAATAGATGAGACAAAGTTATTGTTCTACCTTTCTCTTACATTACGCTGTAATATCTGTGTTCTGTAGGTATAACGTGTTTATGTTTATTACATTTCATTCTCCTTGATTCTACAAAGTTTGAGAGGTGAAGTAAAGTTCTCGGATCGGGAAAATGTATTTTCTAATCTGATTTTCACAATATTTTCTAAAATTTGGTTGACTGTTCTACTTTGGGAGATTCGAATGTATAGCTTATGCATATAAGTGTCGGAAACATACTTTGGGAACTTCTCAGAAAGTTCAGCAATGGTCATGGGGTTGTACAGGCTAGTGGCATTACGACGTTTTTCCAGTGGCAAGGATATCTGTAAGAAAATTACAGTTTTTTAGTTTTCCGCAAATATAAAACGACAATTATATTTAAAAAACCAGATACTCCATAATAAAATGCAAGATTAATGTTTTTTGTTAAGGACAAATAATACCTGTACTTAACGTTTACTTTGCTCACGAGCTCTACATTTTAACAAAATGTCAAACATGAAGTCGATAAACGTATTGAACGTGTAACAAAGCTTTTTCCTTGTTTACTGAACAATAGTGAGCCTTTGACTTACATTCGCAAGCATCATTTCAAATTTTAGGGATTCCTTGAGCTCGGTCTCAGCGCGAGGGCGCTCAGCTCCCAGCAACACTGCGATGTCCACCATATAATCATAGTAGGCCTGCACGAGCTTGTCGCTAAATCCGCGGTTCAGGTATTCCCTGCTCAGACCTAGAGACGCCTGGTCCAGCTGTGAGAAAACAGAGACTTAGCAAGTCACTCACTTAACATTGTACATAAAACGTTCGCAGCATTACCACAAGAAACATTCGCTGAGTAAATATCAATTCGCGGTAAACATAGCTGTCAGTCTTAGGTAAGTTTAACGAGCGGCCACATTACAGTACTTATGTGGTCACACATAACGAACACTCAAAAAAATGCGCCTACTTCTTGTTACAAGGTCGGCCGACCGGATCAATATAATCTATAAGAAATTACTGAGAAGCAGCTACGTTATTAGTATTCTTACATCGATGATGCGCTTGGTAGAGTTCTTGACGTCGACGCTTATGGAGAAGTCAAGGAAGTAATCCACGGAGTATCCAGCAGCTCTGAAGTTGTACACGGATTTTTCCCAAGTGAAGGATTTTTCGTCCCAGTTGTTGCCGTCGAGTACCGGCCAGCCGCCGAGCCTCTTCAGCATGTCCAGCAGCGGCTGTATTCCTCGCGACTCGATGGCAGCTAGCATTAAATAAATATGCCAAACTTATAGTATATTAGGTACAAAGTAAGTAATGGTAGAAATTATAGACCTAAACTAACTATTGAAAAATATACATTATTGGGCGGAAAAAGTAACAATAATAAAGAATATCCAAGTGAACTGATTCTACGTAATGGCCAGCACTCTTTAGTAGAAAACTACATTCACTTAGTATGCGACCGGCGACTCGCACTCAAAACCTTTTGCTATCCTTGTTGGGTGTTGCCATATCGTCCAGTTTCGTTCCAGCTCGATCATTCATCACTTACGTCACCATGATTGTGTAAATAACGGAAGCAACATCATTTAGTTCACTTTCACCCACATTTAATTCCACAACAGGTTTAAGTAACAGTTAAATAATAAATTGTCGTAATTAAGCTCATTATATCCTGCGCTAGGTTCAGATAGACACGCGATGTCACGTTATTGCGTACAATTGGATGTCTTAACTTCGCTGACCCGCTTTGTAAATCAAAGTGATCTAGGCTCTGATATACCTATTTCTGGAATTAAATTAGGCAGTTATATTTATTTATTAATTGTATGCGTCATAACTATATATGATAACTTGTTGTTCTAGCTGTGTAAATGAAAATGAATTTTATAATGCATTAAACTTCGCAACGCAATATGCAGACGCTTCTAATGTTCTCCGAGAAAACAAAGCCACAAAAGTTTTAAGCTTTTATAATTGAAAAATTCTTTGTTGTAAACTAGTTGAAGAAGCATTATATTCAAAATGTAATAACAATCGAGCAACTCGCCGACTGTTTACGGAGAGTGAATTAAGTTTGTTTACTTTGGCTTCCAATTTGCGGTTATCTTGTTGGGGCCCAAAGTTTGTTGTCTTTATGCGAAAATAGTTTGTAAAATTTATCTAATAGCAATTTAATACCTACAAACTCACGGAAGTTTTAAATTAAAATTAAATAATGGCTTCCTCTCTAGTCCTGTGTTGTGAGTAATGAAACTTGTGTCTGTAGGACAGGATGGTCGTGTCGTGAAATATAATTAAAAGTTGAGTGCACCTGGCAGCCTGGCAGCCTGACACCACTCTATTGTCTGTTGTTACTTCGTCGGAGAATTAATGTTGCGAAATAATCTGGCAGGTACAACTTATATGTTCGAAGATACATAATATGAAATACCATAATAATTATGTTATTTCATAAGTACGCATGTTCATGCTTTTAATACTTCTTTAATTAGTACATACATAATTATGTACTCAACAGTTAGGTACATTCTCATCGCATTCCACCTATTTGAGTTTCACTCATTTATTATATTCACTCATTCATAATATCTTATCCGCTACGCTTAAAAAAACGATAACAGTTATATGATGCACTCCAATTACTTTATTTCTACGTATTAATACGTAATAATTATTGTAACATATACTTAATTATATCATTGGCTTTGTATCGCAATGTAATAGTAAAGTAACAGTGCAGAGTAACAGTTAGACCAATTAACAGACATTAACGTTTCATTGTTTCCACGCAGGATAACGGACTACACTCACGCGAAAACCTCAACTACAAAGTAGGTGCACGTTGTTATTACTAGAAGGCATAGTTAAACGAATACCATAGAATATGTAGTCAAAAGGAATCTTATACCTATAGTTAAATAAGTTTACACTTACTTCGGTTCATGCAGGCCTGGTACAGAGTTTTAGCGAGAACGAATGGTCTGGGCTCATTCTCCACGATAGGTTCGTCCAGTAGCGCACGAATCTGTTCTTGTAGCTGATCAGTGATAAGCGAGAAGGTGTTCACAGAGGTCTTGTCGTCAGGTATGCGAGTGTTCTTCACAAAGGAGCCACAAGCGAAGTCGTAGAAGTCATCACACGGGTCTACCTTTTCATCCATGTTCAGCAGTAGTTTAGAAGCTACAAAAAAGAACATCATCATTTGCGTGCCCGTTTTAAAAAATTGCCCGTTGAATTAATCCTTTTTATGAACTAACACAAAATACATTAAAGTTACAACAACGGTTTTCTCTTACAAAGTTGTTGGCATGAGCACTTCTGACCTTTGGACAACAATTAATCAAATAATTTGTAACACGAATTTATAATGGTTTACTAAATACCTGACTTTGAAATATTTACAGCTAACATGAACTTAGAATAGAGTTGTTTCTGTTCTAAATAGGTAACCAAAAAACAGAAATGTTACTTTTGCAAGAAGTTTCTACTACTCATGCCTATTTACAATAAATAGAGATAGAAGAAAGTGTTTGTACCTGTGTGGATGCATCCAGGGGAGGTGCACACCTTCTTATCAGCTGCAGATCCCACAGCAACAACTGATGGCGGCATGGACGAAGAAATTCTCAGTTCACTAGTCTGGGGTATGTCTAAAACGCAAATAAAACATGCTTCGTAAAAGGGCGATGGGAACACAAAGGAAGATCTAGTGAGGCCTACAGAGCCTTGTAATACAGATGAGTGATACAGGACAAAACAGGGTGCAAGCTCAGTAACATTAAATTAATTAAAAAGGAAGAGACACATATACACGTACTAAAACACATTTACTCATGCAAACCTTAATAAAATCAATACATTGAATTCTCGTTTTCATATATTTTGCTACAAAGTAGTTCAAAGTACCAATAGGTAGTCGATGTAGTTATAGCATACGAGTCTTTGATCATAATAAATGAATGCTATAAAACTACTGTTCGTTCCCACATCGGTTTGCAAATGTAAGTAGCCGGTCAACTGTCTATTGTACTATAATGTTGCAAAATGGTGGAAATTTACCTCCGCCCCGCCTTGACGTACGGTAATGATAGGGGTTCTAATTATTTTCCTCGAATTCTTATAAAATATGTACGCTCTCGATGGCTAACCGTCTTCCACGTTGCAACTGTATTCTATTTAACTATTTGCTGCCAAGTTAAATTACATTAATAGTACCTTTGATACTAAGTGGTTCTCTAATTACCATTTGCAATATACCGACTTTTATATTATATAGATAGAAACAAGTTTTTTTTACAATTGATTTAACTTATTACAAAAATATCGAAAATACGTCTGTAGGGCTTGGTAATTGGTCTAAAACCCTGAATCATGGTATTTGACAAACATCAAGCAACATCCGAGGAAAACTATGATAGGAAATCCGACGTAACATTACACAAATCCTCAACACGTTGCTTCATACATAAGTGTCGTGGAGGTACAACGACACTATGTGCCATAATTAACTTAGTGAACGGATTGCTTGTTGCGGTAATCTCTTAAATCCAAGAATCTCATAAACGTTTTGTCTTCAGTAAGACTCAGACAGAGTACCTTCTATTTACAATCTTTGTACCTATTAATTACACGCACCTGCCCACAAGATCTCTTTATAAAACTGCAGAACTTACCATCTCTGATTTTCTTTGAAATATCTCGAGGTCCTGTCAAATGAAGCTGCATAGCAATTACCGCTTTGTAACGGTTGATACTCGTGTAACCCAGAAAAATAGATTGTTATTGTTGGTGTATTTATTACACGTGTAAGAGATCTTCTTCCCCATCGTATGAACTAATTCTCCTAGTGGTATTGTTATACAAAAAATGGTGTAGTTAAAGTCCGCATTAAACTTTTAGAGCAAACTAATCTCACTTACAATCAAAGATGCGTATTAATATTGCAAATAATTAGGTAGGTACTGTTGCAAAATAAAACCTTTTTTAAGAACTGCACGCACGGTTTTATGCGTCAAATGTAACACGCCTTTTCAATATGGTCGTTGTTATTGACCGAATTTCGTGTTTTGAACTTGGCCTCGTAATAAAAGCGTCATACTTTCCTTATTTTTAAAAACCAAAACAATCAAGGACCTTCGAATAGAGTGACTTTGAGCAAATTACCCATGAAATTATTGCTTCATTGTGTAATGACTATGCACGTAATGGTTTTCTAAATTACATACGGCTCATAGATAATTGTATGATCACTGTCCGTAAGAAATCTTTAATTTTATACTGAGGACGCTACGTAGTTTGTCATCAGCTTTAAATAATAAAACTATATAAGTACAATGTGCATGGTCATTTTGATTTAGACTTCTCGATATTAACGGGTACTTTGTTTTTCGCAGATATCAGCTAACTAGAAGAATCGGTTTTAAAAATTCGTCACTTAAAAGGAAAAGTTGATGTTCATTTATACACGATCCACATAATGAAGTAGTAGGTACCTAGAGCCAGTTTCTCTGAATGACACTGCACGTGATACATAGACATTCACGTTGATGTAGGATCCAATTGACTGGGAAAATGTTATGAGAAAGAAAATAATTAGTTAATAAATTATACGCCTCAAGAATAAAGTCAATTATTCTGTTCATAGCAATCAATAGACATCGAGAAAAACTTTACTAGATCAATATTTGCAATAAGCGAGGTTCTTTTGTTAATCTTTCTCAATTCAACTTACTCAATTTGGTGTGAAAACTGACCTCTGTATTGTAATATTGTTATTATATAGTGTAATATCGGCGACACGAGTGCGTGCACCCAAGCGTGGCGTGGGTTGCGAAACACAACGTGATCTAGTATTTGGCAACCCTCACCCGCCGGTTGAGACCATTTTCCACCGTTCTCTTGCGAGACTAAACATTTTTTTTTGTAAAATAAAGTCACAACAAGATTATGAAAAGTTTCCTTATACCCTATGCAGTGATGTGCAAACCGAGTCACGTCGTTTCCCTGCTCGTTTCCGTATTTCCGTATCGTTGACAAGCGTGCGGCGTACTGCCGGTGCCAGTGCGTTACATTCGCCGCCATCACTTATTCTGACCATCGACGGGATAACAAGTTAAACTCAGTTTATATCGTGACCTGCCCTCTTTTATCTAATTTTGAATGACAATGTTTAGCTTCTTATTTATACCACACTAGTAAGTGCGTAGTACCGTAAATTTTAATAACGTTGTTTTTTCCGTTTCTAATATAATGTGGCCATCTTCTTTGTTTAATTGCTTGTTGTTGAATGATATATTATTAGTCTATATTTAATTCGAGGTTGTCGATTTGGTAGTGCTCGATGCCCCTCAAATACGCAACAAAAACATTCGATAACGACTTGGTTTTACCGAATAAGAGTGTACATATATTACAATGTATAAATATAAGAAGTTCATAGAAAAACACGAGGACGTAAGATAGAGATAGCAGTTCCGTTTCATCTCATGCCGGAAATTTGAGTGATCACACCAAGGAACGGCAGGGGTAGGTAGAGGTACTCTTTCGATATTTACATTAAGTAAATGGGGTTTGCGATCGAATCATTTAACAATTGAAATTATTTCAATACGTAACTCGGCCGCTTGCAATAAATTGATTTTCTGTAACTTCAGTAGTTGGAGGAAATGAAGACATCGCCTGCATTAAATTAGTTTTCCTTAACTTAGAGGTAGTTTGTAGAATCTATTGTTAGTTAAATGAAAATTGACATTCATAACGGAATAAAGGTCGAATGCGGTCGGCCTTTGGTCACAACTTGTGACCATATAAAAAGGAACAAAAGGACTGAATCATTCGTAAAATTTTCTCTAATTACTCATTCTGTTGCCTACTTACATTTTGTGAATGCTAATTCTTTACAAACTATGGTCTAAGTTAAAATATAAGTAGGTATGTACTAAATACGGTGTTAAATGTACTTTTCTGATCGTAGAGGATGTTTAATCAAGGACAGATATGTAAAATAATTTTCTCTGTGTAAATTGGTGTGAATGACATGATCATGGAAAGTATGCTCATGTAAATATCAACAAAAGCATGTAATTTCTGTAGGAAATTAAGCTTACGGTCGTTATTATTTTAATTTTTCATTCATGTAAGTACATATATTGTATATTATATAATAATTATGTAAGTATCATGAGTTGTAAAGAATCTAATTAAAAAAACATTTCCTATACCTACTTTATCCTATTCACGGTAATGTACAAAAACCTTTTTGCCACAAAATTACTCATCAGATACAAACCGCAGATAATAAAACATTAAAATACCACCTCAAAAAAGGTACCTATTTTTGTAGCAAAATATATAATTAACGAGAATGATTTGCATGAAAATAATAATAAGCACATAGATTATTGTCTAAATATAACTTTAAAACACGTATGAATAAAATTGGAGTACATACTTAAATGAAACTATTAATGTGTTAATGATGTAGTAATTACAAGTAATTACATGTAGTAGGTATTGCTCTCTTAATTTCCTAGTCATTTTATGGGAGAAAATAATAATAAAAGATAGTTAAATCTGAACATTTAGACTGCAACTGCAAATATTTAAGAAAATTAATACATTATTGTGTTAAGTTTCTTAAATATCCAATTATCCATCTATGGCCGAGGAACGATCTTTCCGCTTCTCTGTCATCTGCTAGCTGTGTGCAGCTGGTTGAAGTCCACTTACCGTTGATGTCAGTAGAGGATCGGACCAGGAGGGTCGCGATAAACGCCGCGAAGAAAGCGATCGCCAGAATGGCCATCACTCCCACTCCCAGCATCAATCGTTTCTCCATCGTGGTCCTCTGACCCCAAAACGATGGCCTGAATGAAATACATGCTCATTAGTAATGTATCTACAAACAAACAATAATTATTATTTCATTAAAAAAGAACAATATAGATGATAAATATTTCAAATTGGATACATATTTAGTAATTTTGGTGGGTTTATTAAAATGTAGTTGCCAGTAAAAAGAAGTTTTCCCAGAGAAAAAATAAAAAGAAATAGCGAGAAGTGTATTTTTTACATTGATTTTCGACGGCAAGGGTACGAGGCAAAGTAGATTGTCGAAAGATTATCAACATAACTCACTTATTAACAAAAGAAAAACGCGCATTTATTTTGTAAAGAAGTTGATAAGTTGTCGTCACATACAAACATACACAGAAGATCAAAACTATACCTATTATATTATATAAAAACGAATTTACTTATATATTGTTTCCCTTATAACTATTTTCCAAATATCCTTCACAAAACCGATTCAAAACAATTCAGTTATTGCGTAAATAATCTGAAGATTGCATATCGAACCGAGATCACTAACTGTAGGTTCAGATTAAGAAATTTACTTAATCCATCGTTATACCGTGACAAGGCCGTTCAAGGCTGTTTAATATAATTAAATGTTGCTGTCTGCCTTCTTATTATCTCATAATAAGGAAATATAGCGTGTTGCCAATCTAAATTTAATAAGAATGAGCCACCATAAGCTGAAGATTAAGCTTTTATGCCAATTAATTACAGGTTCCTTCCTAAGTTATACAGGTCAGGAGATTACTGGTAAAGTGCTTCATCAGTATTACGGAATAATGACTTAATTAACACAATTAGGTAAATCACCTGTACCTACCATCCAGAAGATCTTAAATAACATCTCAATTCATGCAATTCTAATCCTTATTGTAGGTAATCTAAACGTTTTGTAAAAGATTTTATTGCCTAAATTAACCAAAGTCGTGTAAAAAATGAAAATAAAAAAATGAGAATGGTTGTTCTTTGAAGGAGAAAATTGCCTCCTAATTTTCAATTTGTTTTGGTAACCCAATTTTCGTGTAACCGTAATTTTCCTTGGTGCTAAACGAAAAGAAGTCGCGGGGGATCCCACTTGAACCTTTCTTGTAATCTTATGGGGATTTAAAGTAAACTCTTTTATAGTATCCGTAGCAAAGAGGCTTATACAGTCAGGATCAAATATAGATAAGGACGTTCAGGGTACTCAAATGCATAGACGCAACCAGAACATCAAACTATCAGTACATACTTAGCAAAGGTTCACCCAAAGCGTCACGAATATCGGTAGTCAGGAAAGTAAAACTGTCACTGATATTTAAGTACCTATTTATTTCATAAAATAAAAATCAACAATAAAACTTCTTTGGAGCATGTGAACCAATAGGATAAAATGGAATGTTATAGACAAATTCCTGTTATATTAATCTAGACCACTATTTACGGCACATCCTTTATCATAAGTAAAACAAATGATATTGACATGAATCTGTATACCTAAGAAGGTGCATCTCAAACGCAATCTTTGATTTTAGACCGTGTGCTTGCGTTGACTGCTTAGTACGACTCACCAATTTTGATACTTTGTTTCATGTCAAATTTCATTTCTTAACCTTATTGTGTACATGTCGTGGTCACGGAGACTTCATGAAATGGTCAAAATTTCATGAAATTTTTGGGTGTCTATTGGTGTCAGGGTCTACTAGTAAGTAGTTTTTTACGACGAATAATTGCTGAACGCAGATGTTTCGAAGGCAAATGTAGCGCAGGCGTCTGACATGGTTCATGTATCGACCACTACAAGAGGCAGTAACCTTGACCGACGGCTTACCGTACCCTGTAAAGCACGGAATCATTTTTTGTTAACGGGCAATCATGCCGATTCAAACTTGCAATGCCATTCTTTTCTAAGAATCCAATCATAAAGCGAATAATCACTTGATTCGTTTCATATTATTCAGATATAATATTTCATTCTTCATAAAATATCTAAATTTTGGTAAATCGTGAGTATCGGTTACACAAAAAATCAAGAAGACGTTAGACTGATAGAGATTGCTCATAGTGCGTAAAGTCTTTGTAGCTAGACCCAGATTAGGCCACATGTTGAAAAATACCACTAAACAAACACCACTGTTAAAATGCTATGCAAAAACAATGAATGAAAACATAATTTATTAAGGAAAAGTTTAATATAAGTATCAAAACTTTTAATCCAATGTCCCCAGTGTTGCTGACATCATTACTATTTTTTCATTTTGGTTATGAGATCCTAATTATCAAGTGACAAAATATTGAAAAATTGAAACTTTTATTTTTGTACACAAAGAGTAGTTCATACTTAAACCCAAAACGAACAATTTAAGCGATGTTTAAACAGTATGCGTAACTACAGTCTAAGTAAAAAACACTTACGCCTATTTAAATTTCAACTGAAATAAAAACAGTAATCAGTTAACACGCAACGTTAAACTCGCTTATTTTGATCGCATATTATCATATTTTAATGAAATCAATTACAATAAATATTACTATATTGTCCTCATTATGGTGTATGCTTGGTCAGCCTATTGCTAAACACCAACGACACTTTTTGGAACCCGGGACTACCTCCCACCTTAGATGAAAGATGTAACTGACTCGGTTACCTATACAGAAACAATCGAGGTACGGGAAAGGCAGTTAACTATAAATTTTATTTAAATCATTTCTTATCAGTATACAAGCCAATAAGGCAATTAGGAAATTGGTTTCAGATCAATAATGTAATCTTTGATAAATTGAAGTGCATCAACGTCTGCGCCAGTTTACACGTGCCGTGTACTACGCGAATAGAGTCGCCCATAACTGAGTAAATGGAAAATCAAATTCATTCTGTTGATCAATAGATAGAAAATTGAATGTGCCGAGATTCAATTAGCTAGTGAAGGCAACATGGCGGTTGATGCAACCCTTACACTGACCTTCAACCTATTACATGATCCAATTTCTAGTTAGCCAATATTGAAGCCATCGATGCACGCGTGTACCCTGTTTCAACAAGTTTACTCGGGAGTTTCATCCTAACCATGTTTACTAGTTTTTATACTTTTTGCTTGGAGCTTCGCTGGTTTCACAAACTCAATTGCGGTTGCATTCGATTAAAAGAAATTGAGTCGTATACCACAAGCGTGTTGGGAGTTTCTAATCCAATTATCTGACTTTGAAATCCATACCTGTACTCAGAGACTGATTTCAACAAGCAAAGTGACTACAGGAAATTTCCCTGGGTAGAAACTGATAAATGTTTGCGAGGACGCCACACGAGGGTGACAAAGTTATCTTACAATATATCATAGCACGCGTATGGGTTGATACATATTATCTGGTTTCCAGTGCCATATCGACAAATTGTTACTTATTGGGTTATTCAGTTTCGAAACTTATAGTGAAGTCTGGATTTGCGTTCGGTGTATAAAGCTGGCAAATCTCTAATAAAATATCTTGTGTGAAATATAAGAAGCAGCTTTGTCTCGGTCTTCTTAGAAAACGAATGTGATATTATATTATGTCATGGTACAAGACAAGCAAGGCTAGACTATCTTCACAATCTTACCTCATTTCCCATAGGAACTGAACGTTTCCGCTAGAAAAATCTTTTAACATATCTAACATATATAACGTTGGTTGATCTTGTCGTGAATAAATACATCTTGCTCAGTATATCAACTTATATTATAGTCCACAGCTTGTTTTGTAAACATGAAATGATATTACAATTCATTTGTAAAATGCGAAGAAATCAAAATGACGTGTGTTATTAATCAAAATGTGATGAATGAAAGATGTATTAATTTCAACAATTATGTTATTGTGATAGAAGCAAACAAACAATAGACTGTTATTATTTAGAATTTTGATAACAAAAATCCAGTAATACTTTGTTCAATCCGTAGCAACTGCGATTTAATCGTCTGGGTATGCTAAGGAGCAAGTTACAGCCAGATTCATTAAAAATGTACATAATGGACTCTCAGAACTGACAAACTACAGAACTCCTAAAAGAGATTCCTTATATCTACCATTAATGTGTATCTCATAGCATATAATAATATTGAATTCATAATTAATTTACTTTGAATGGTATTGGAAACTTGGAACGGTTTGTGAAGACGCTTGAAAACTTCTGTAAATTTTCAATTACAATTTTCAGAAGCATTAGACAATATTGACACAAAAAGTTAATCGACATTAAGTCGATAGCACTTAAGCAACGAGAACTGGACTGGTAAACAACATTGAGATTTGATGTTTAGTAATTGAGGACGATTTCCTCATCTTAATAATAAAGTTCTCCAAAAAGCTGCTGAGGTTTTCGTAATATTTTCTCGTTCTCAACCTTGACATTGGACAGATAATATCTAACAGTTAAACTAAATAAATGGGTTAATAAATAGCATCAGCATTGTTTAGTCGGGCCCTTCACGGCACCGAAAAATGTATTTGGATAACATCCAAATATCAGAGGCAAACATTTCGTATTTAATGATATATTTTATACCAGTGTGTAATTCCGTGTGTAGTAAATTATATAATTTACATTGTTTTTTGGTAGTTCAAGATACTTTTATAAACAAACGACCAATCGAGGTCGATTAAAGAAACGTAATGCCATTTTGTTCGTGAGTCCCTGGTGAAACGACCTCAGCTGTCGTCGTTTTGGTCCAACAGACAATAAAGTAAATTGGGAATACCAATTGGCACCTCAAGACTGTTCATGAAACTGCCTCTCTCGCTCTGTTATGATTTAATTTCGCGCCTTCTGTAGTAGCTAAACATATTTTAATCGGCGATCAAGTGTTTCTTTGATGTAAAAGCCATTGAAGAAAGCAGAAACTTGGGGAAATGGCAACCTCAAAACTACGCCACGAGAGTTGTACTAACTTTATACGCATTTATTAGACTCAACTATCATTGTTTTATAGATTGTATTTACTATGAAATTAAGTATAGGGTTACGGAATAGATATTATTATGTAGTTAGTTACAA